CCGTTATTCCTGGTCTCCTGAAACCATGCTCTAAACTACATTTAGGAGCTTTTAACGTCCGAACATTGTGCCAAATAGGACAACAGGCTTCCTTAGCTAGGACTTTAGAAACTCGCACCATTGATGTGTTCAGCGTCTCCGAAACGCGCATACAGGATTCGAGTAGCGTGATTCATTTGACCTCACCTAATCAAAATAAAGAACCATCTCGATACACGCTTCGTGTATCTGGAAGCCCCGATGCTGCTTCCCGTGGCCTCGCTGGAGTAGGTATAGCATTAAGTCGTAGTGCAGAACTAGCTCTTTTAGACCGGATCCCAGTAGATAGTCGTCTGTGCGCTGTCCGACTAAACTGATCAATAAGGAATCGGAAAGACAGGGACACTCGTCATTGCCTATTTATCGTCTCTGTCCACTCCCCCACTGACTGCAGCTTAGATGATATAAAAGATGAGTTTTACAGGAAACTTTCCGACCTTCTCCAAAAAGCTAGGCGCTCTGATGCAGTAATAGTGGCAGGTGACTTTGTTGCTCAGGTAAGTAAACTAAGCAAGTGAACTCCCAATATCAACCTATTGTTTCTGCTTGCTGTCTTATATTTTACGTATTTCCTTTTGTTTTCTATGAAAAGATTAACATCGGGATCATCAAATAAACCAACAAATCCCCTAAAACCAACAACATGCTATTATAAATCAAATAACAGTATTAATAGTAGTTCTATCCAACAGAAAAACAACAGTCCACAGGGAGTAAAATTCACTTCATATAAAAATCAAAATTTAAAAACTGGTTAGTTTCAAATTTTGTAATTTGATTTGTAAAAAGTATCTCTCATTATTTTTACAAATTTCTTTTTATATATTAATACTATAAATCTTCATCTGGATCTTCATAGAACCGTTGCTGCCACGTTGACGTGGTGGTCGGGCTCGCCAATCGAGCTATACTGGCTGGAACAATCGTTCCTCAGTGTCCTACCATGCCAGACAGGTCGGTTGAAGAGCGGTAAGACTAAAAGCAGCAAACTAAAGGTCCGAAGACGAATTCGTACTGCTGACTGTACAGAGTTGTGACTGCAGTAAGATGTTTCTTTTAGACAACCAGCATAACAGCGATGTTGCCTTCCCACAAGGAGTGGTGAGGTTAAGAAAAGGTCGTCCCTAAAAATGCACACCTCGCCTTATCCCACGGATATCCGTCTCCGGCTGTAAGGTCCTTTGAAGAACGGAGCTAACACAAAATTTACCAACAAAATTGTCGTGTGTGACCAACCAAAAGCAGTTGTCCCTTGGGCACTACGGTCACGCTCTCAGGTTATTAAGACCACTTCTAACTCAATTTCCTTTTCAGATACCTCTAGAAGAATCCTTTCACGGTGTAGGCTACCGGGAAGTGATAACTACCCTCTAACCTCTAACAGAACTCAAGATATAAGTGACTGACTTTTGTATTATTAATCATGTTTGCATGAAATTTTGTTAGCATGCATTTCATCATAAAGTCCATTTGTTGTTACACATTTACTTGAAAATCTTTTCTTGTCTGAACACAGTTTTTTTCATTTCCAATAAATTTATCTCCATCATCATAAATGCCTAGTATATAAAAGAGATGGATCGAAGCAAGTAACCAAAAAAGGGACCAACGGAAAATTTTCCCAGTTCAACTTAGTTTTTGATTCAAAATCATTGATGATATAGACCTGATAATGTAGATCTGCATAGAAAGATATTTCATCACATCAATTATTCTTGTTTACGGATCTACATAAATTTCAAATTTCATTTCATTCTTTATAATTTTTAGTTAATTCTTTCTAATTGATGTTAGATTTCGATAAAACTGGATCTCTCCAAGTTTATCAAAGCTAACAAACCAACGAAGTAGTATAATTCCCTTTTGTAACGATATAAAGAATTTACAGATCATTGAATAGGTAAACAAATTAAGAGAAAGACAATGAAGACAGTGTGATCCAATGAATCGAAGCTTGTTTTTATTTCAAGAAATATGTACATATATATGTATATAAACCTTAGTTTAACAGTCTTATTTTGATTATTTTATAGATGATGAAGATATATTCAGCGTATCATCAATCAACGGTGGTTTAGCAGAAGATAATAGCCTTTCTTTAGCTCAAGAATTATCCCCAAGACATTCAATTAGAGTTAGTCGGTCTTTGGATCCAAGTGTAGCAGCAGCACACGCAGAAGTGGCTGCATTAGGTCCTAGGCCAACTACCAGAGTAGGTGGAGTGAATAGGCAACCAATGACTGCAAAGCACACATCAATCGGAAGCCCAGAATTAAGCAACACCATGGTAACTAGTCTCTGGGGTACTAATTCTAAAGGTAAGTAAGAAAGAAGTGGTATTTTGTGGGATCTCAGTGTCTTAATTAAATTCAAAGCTTTGAAAATAGTCTATTTATAAAAATAATAAATTTAAGTATAAGCTTATAGATGAATCACATCTTTCATAAGTTACTGCTGTTAACTACGTCCCCTTGTTACTTCTGAATTATGGAAATAACACCTACGATATGAAACGTGGCTTGCAGCGGAATTTCGGTCACGTGTTTTATCCGTTTGGGATTTTTCAGCTAGGTGTACCTGCATATCAGATTTGATGCCCATTCCCTGTCTTGAACCTAATACAGTCCCCTGCTTAGAACTCTAACGCGTTGTTCGCTAATCTACTGAGTCTAGATAGCCAATGACATGTTCAATAGAGTGAACTTTAATTAATTTGTATTGGTTACTTGAATGTTCTCACTGATATTTACGACTTTCATTGGTCGGTTTCCAAATAGGATAAAACGCGTGTACTGAATTAATTCCACCACTAGCCATCATCCATCTCTGTTTATAACACCAAAACGAGACTGGTCAATTACAGTCCAAAACATCAATGAGAAGACTCAAACAACCAAAAAAAATGAATTAACGCTTAGTGTATTTTTAAATCCTAGGGGTAATAGAAAAATAAATATGACTTTTTATCTTAATTTTTATATCGATCAAAATCTTGATGTACAAATAGAGTAGTTAAGGGAAATGGTTTCGAATGAGAATTAGTGTTGTGTTTAGGTCCTTGGTGTCGACCGAGAATAGATGTGACCGCGGAACTGAGTGATGAATCCATATCATACATCAACTAAATGATTCCTACTGTTTGAGTCATTTTATTAGCCTTATCCATACTTATTAAATTTGATCAACTGTAAACTTAATTATTTTTCTTACTGTGTTGTTAGGACGATTATATGAAAGGTAGTCTGTATTGCTGAATATAACAACTCATTATATAAGTCTGTTATAATAGTCGATTTAGTAAAGTGATGTGTTCTCAGAAAGTAACTACTTTTCATAAACATTCACATCTCATTCTTCAAAGTCATTGTAACCAGTTTCAGACAAAATAAGATAGCTCTATTTTGAACTATAAACTATCGTCATACGATTCACCATTCTTGAGTTATCCGTAGTTTATTAATTACTGCCTCCCACATTCACAGCCACATTTGTCTGAATCTTGTACACATGTTATTTTCCATTTTATTGAAACGATGCGGTCATTCTGTTTGTTATATAAACCCAGTATGTTTGTCATACAATGATTAATACCACAGAGGCTGTTATTGGTATTCTGGACTTAACTGGCTTGGCTATGCAGAAGCAGGACTGATAAGCACTCTAGACTGCTCGTACGGTTTTCGTGTGTCTCTGTTCCAATCGATAATTCGCTGCTTCCTAATTTACAGTCTTATCACTTCATACGTCATACAAGGCATCCACTCGGCCACAAGTTATAACAATAGGTTAGTAATTGCATCGGATCGTATATAAGAAAAATGTACAAATAGTCTATATGGTTTTGATATGCGAATCTAAGTTTCTGGCATTCTTGTCCATGTAATTTAGCTACATACTATAAGAAAAGTCACATTTTCAATATTCGTACGTACCTAACTATCGGTAAAGAAACTATGGTATTTGTCTCGTCTATAAACTAATTATTTATGCCGTAATTTGTATGATGGTGAACTAAATAAATACATAGTTGCTTCAAAATGTTGATAGTTTTAGACTGAAATGAAAGAAGCTAATCTGTTTGATAGAACTTCAGTCATTCAACTCATATTTCAACATTGAATTTAATGACTAAGATTATAGTTAATCATATTTTCATGCTTCATTTCATTATAAAAATACTTCGTTATCATAAAAAGCAAATTTTAGCCTAGTGAACTTAATTTTATTCAATGTTGTTTATCGTCTGAATTTCATACATATTTTTTAGCCGCCAGTCCAATTACTAATGTCATTTCTATGGCCAGATCTGATGGTGCCTATGATGAATTCGATTCAGATGATTGATTTATCAACAAGATTTTATAAGAACAATTTCACTCATTGTCTTTCTAATGAATATTCAGGTATTTCTTAAAACAAGTTCATATTTTCTATCAAAACTGCATAAATAAATACGTACACCCGAACAGGCATTAATACATGGAACTTCAATTTATGAATCGAACTGTGATTTAGTCGAAAAATTTTGCTTTTTATTTGTGATATAAATATATCTCATTGTGGTTGTTTATTTCTTTTCTAGATTCTGTCTTCCAATTGTCTAATTCTTCATTGTCATCTTATATCTTATGCTTCTTCTACATTCTATAGTTAAAATTTTTGTTATATTCGTCAAATTTGACCATAATTAATGTATGGTATAATGAATAAAGGAAAATCAATGAATAGTACTGATATGTAATCATTGAAATGAAAATTTCTTTCTCTATTGCTTACTGTTGCGTTTTGTTGTTCCGTTCAGGATTTGTCATATTAGTTTACATTGACTAGTTATTTTTTAAATAATACTCTTTCTTATATATGAATGAATAATTAAAAAACAATAATGTAAACATGTTATAAATGTAGTTTTCTTTTACAATATAAACTCAGCATATCATTTTAGTTAGTATTTATTATTATCAAGTTACTAGTGAATTATTATTGTTACTACTACTACTACTACTACTACTACTACTACTACTACTACTACTACTACTACTACTACTACTACTACTACTACTACTACTACTACTACTACTACTACTACTACTACTACTACTACTACTACTACTACTACTACTACTACTACTACTACTACTACTACTACTACTACTACTACTACTACTACTACTACTACTACTACTACTACTACTACTACTACTACTACTACTACTACTACTACTACTACTACTACTACTACTACTACTACTACTACTACTACTACTACTACTACTACTACTACTACTACTACTACTACTACTACTACTACTACTACTACTACTACTACTACTACTACTACTACTACTACTACTACTACTACTACTACTACTACTACTACTACTACTACTACTACTACTACTACTACTACTACTACTACTACTACTACTACTACTACTACTACTACTACTACTACTACTACTACTACTAGTATTATTGTAATCAACTATTGTTTTATTATTGCCCATGGTAATGTTGTACTTGTTATTACTGTGCTACATTTTCGATGCTAAGTAGACTTGAATGAAAGAAATCTTCCATCCTTTATGTTTCATTCATTTTCAAACTAGATCCAAATGGAATGTGTGTTGTTTCACAGGAATTACAAACAACATAGAAATAAGTAATAGTATTTGACTGCCAAATTATTTTAAACTAATGATGAAGTAATTTTATGTGTATTCGTTTCTGTTTAAGTGAATTTGAATTAATGGTTATAGTTGCAAGTGTGTTTCAATAGTATGATCTTGATCAAATTTTGATCACTCAATTTTTTTGATGGAGTAGTTAGGAATTGCTCTTAGGCCTTTTTTAACTAGACTGCTGTGGAACGTGCATAAATCATTGAGTCTTGATATAGAAATTCATTGGTGTTGGTTATCCTTGCGTTTCCTTTACTCAAAATATGTAGAAGTATGCTTGAAAGTTTGTCTTATGGACATCTTGTTTTCCAAAAAAAAATAATGCTCAATTAAGAAGAATACTGCTATTATTCTAAAATTCATTTGCTGCTGGCAAAGTTTGCTTGAAGATTCCGTGAAATGTACTCACACATGGTAGGAGAGTTAACCTCCAATTAGTCGACAACCTGTGATATATGTTAGTGAATATGTTTACCAACTTATATTAACTGCACGTGCACATTTGCCATATATACTATAGCAACTATCCTACACCCTATGATTAATTTTAGTTAAGCTCTTTTATTAACTTACTTAACAGGCATTGTCATTTTGATAGTAACAATTCGCATATATGTTTGTACTGTTATGACCACAATAGCACATGGCAGACTCTAGCCAAAACGTTGATTGCTTAAATATCGTTCGATTATTCGTCCTCCCACACATATATGTATGCACTCAAATCCTATTATTAAGTTTTGCTTTGTATTGCTACGCCCTTATACAATCTCACTAAAAATTTGCCTATGTTATTGCTTGCGGTTGCTCTCAGATACTTACTCATGTGCTTGTAGCTTTGTGGCCTGCATCAGACACATGTTTATCATTCTTTAGATGAATGATATTAGACTGAGAATTTATATGTGGTCAGATAATTATCTTTATTTTGGTTCAAAATGTTCTTTAGAAGGAGTCAGAAAAATTCTCAATATTAAGATTACTTTCAATTTGGTACTCGTTATCAATTTCATTATCAAATGTTGAAGCAAATACTAATTGACTGTACCACGTCAACAACAATGGTTCGGATAGTATTTTATACGATAAACTGGGAAGTGATTATTCTTCCTTGTTTAGATTACTATATATTAAAGAATTAATTCAACTATCGACACAGTCAGTAAACTCATTTGTTTTAAGAAGATCCACTCAATTAAGATAGCACCAGATATATATGCGATATACTATTGAATTCAGTGGGAATTCAATGTATCGATACGTTGGATGAAATCATTGAATTTTAAATTTCGAATGTGAACAAACGTGAGCATAAAATGAAACAATAAAACAAGAGAAAATAGATCAGTGGAAATTTAATAGTTAGTTCAACTTGTTTCTATAAAGAAAGATTTGGCTATTTTGGTTATCCTTACAAATTTTGAAATGCACTAGAGATGTACAAAAGTATGTGTTGGTTGATTGAATTTGTTCTTAAGAATAAATTCGTATGGTTTGTATTATACTATGTGATAACAGTCAACTGCATGTTACAGATTAGGAAATTTCATGTTTTTAAGCTGACATTCACTGAACTGGTAAGTGTTGTCTCAAATGCCCAGAATATATACTACGATGAATGCCCATGTAGATATTAGGTGAATAAATATGTGTTCGTCAATTTGATCAGTTAAAGTAAATTATTGTTAAGAAGATAAATCTATGAGTGGAGAACGTTAAATATTCACTGTGAGATTTCATAGATTTAGTTCCCTTTATTATCTTGAATAGAGAAAGATCAAAGAATTGAATAGAATAACATGGATTCATTTATTTCGTTATGTTCTCATCAGCCGCTTACAATCTATAATATTTAGAATCGAAATTATTGCGAAGTTTATATATTAATAACAATGAAGATGGATATGTATCATCGTGGTGAAGTAGTGAGATTGAACACATATAATGAGTGTTGTAAATAAATAATATGTGAGGACTTGAAATCAGTACTTTTCGCTTCAAACATATGGAATTAAGATACTGATTATTTTCAGTCCTAAACACCAACGGGAAGATTCAATGAAACAATACCTGATATTAATACTTATAAAAAATTTATAGGCTGAATTTGCATTAAAACTGATGTTGTAAGGAAGACGGAATTTAAGTCAATATAGAAACTTTAAAACGTAGCCTATAAGAAGTTAAAATAGATTTCATCTTCTATTGAACGGTACACAGAATCTCCACCCAAACACTCAGCTCAACATTTATTTAAGCTGATTGAATCTAATTGATGTAATTAGGTTTATTGACTGTACTTGTAACTGTGTTAAACTACAGATAAATACAATTCCAAACATTGAGAAATGACAGTGAAGAATTCATCATTTGGAATAACTGACAAATTATTTCTTTAATTTTGTTTCACTAATGCAGTACATGTAGAATAAAGTGTACTGAACTGGAAAATCGTCGCTGAGAATAATTCAGAATATCACTATTACTTCTAATATAATACATTTCCTACTGAAACTACTTGTTTGATAATATCATTTAAATATTAGTTTCATGTATTTGATGAATAAATTTGGATGCGCACTGTTGAGGAGTCCCATAATAGAACAAAACGGCCGTCCAGTGCTTCCAGGTTTTCCATGGTGGTCTAGCTTAAATTAACTCATGATCTCAACTATGAAAATCTGAACCTACCAAAATCGTATTTAAAATGATAAGATGCAACTTATAAAAGATATAATTACAAACAGTTAAGTAGCTCAACTAAACAAATGCCTTTAGTATATGTCTGTTATCATTGAATCAATATGATTGGTTAGATATTACATTCAGTTCACATTCAATTCACTTTAAACTCGTGTACAATTCACACATCACACATTCAACATAAACTCAATATCGAAATTACCTAACAGTGTGTAAGATAATGAAAGAGACAATTGGTTCATGGAGAAAATTATGTATCATCAGGAAGAGATTGGATGGGAAAATTGCAATTGTGACAGGATGTAACACTGGAATCGGTTTTCATACAGCCAGTGAATTAGCTCGTCGTGGTGCAACAATCATTATGGCATGTAGAAATATGAAACGAGCCAACGAAGCTAGAACTCGTCTGTTGGAAATGTATGGTGAGAATAATGCGAAAAGTGAAGAAACCGATGTTGCATGTAGTCAAGTGAAGTCATCTTTAAAGCCCATCGAGTCAGATCAGGTAGGCTATCATTGACTTTAGCATATTATTCTCAAGTTATATCCATTTTTTGAGGTTGAGAAATTCATAAATAGTCTCCGTCAATCATTGAAACCGGATAATAGCTTGAGAATCCTCAGTAAAACGCGTCAACAAACTAGCTAGTAACTGAATGGCACCATCTACTGAGATACTTTTATAGTGAGAGTTGAATATCATGTCCAGCTAGATCATGAGGTGAATTCATTTCTATTGTATTCATTTTTGTGTAATAAACAGTTACATGAGTATGGTCTTTAGGTAAATCACTTTTAATATCGCAATGGTGGTTTTAGTGGTTGAACTGATGAGTGGATTTAAGCTAGACTACTAGTGAAACGTGGATGTACTGGACTGCCGTTTCGTTCTAGTATAATACTTCTCAACAATGAGCATACAGGACGAAACGGCCATCCAGTGCTTCCAGTTTTTCAATGGTGCTCTAGCCTAAATCGACTCATGATTTCAACTTTTAAAATTACTTTAAGATATAATATGTAAACCATCAGACTGTCCCCAATGACCCATATTACAGAGATACAAGTAAAAGAATCATATATTCATTTCCTGGTCTTCTCTGAGTTGATTGTTTTTCTTAAAATACTAGATGGAAATCTCAAAACGGTTATCGATAAACTGACTACGTTTTGTCATTTTAACATCATTTCATCTAGTAATATCGATCAGTATAAGAAGAAACAAAAGTTAATCAAGTTTAAGTTTATATTTAGCTTTCGATTCCAATTTTTGAATGTGTCAGTAACAATAACTTGTTCTTCTATTTTTAACACTCTATTGAACTGACACGATCTATTGAACAGTAGAAGGTTATTTGGAAATAACGTAGCCTTGTTTTAATGCACTTACATTTTTTTGGCACCATAACGTGTCATGCAAGTTGGGCTGAATGGTACATCATAGAAGAAATTAAAGATCATTAAGAATGTTGTTTGAATGAGACCCTCTGAATGATTGTTTCATCAAATCAGAATTTAAAACATTAAACCTTCATACTTAAACGTCAAATGCAAATAATAAATAACCAATGACATCTGACAATAAGGAATGTTATGCCTAGAAAAATGTCATCATATGCAAACAGTTTCTATCATTTTTAAGACTGTTAGTAGCTGTTGCATGAACAATAAAATTATAAACTTGATTGGTATCACGAAGCAATCCATGTTAAATAATCATTGAAAAACTGTTAGTACTGGACTTTCATTTCATTTTATTATGGAACTACTCGGAATTATCGATCCTCGTCTTCGTAGCCGGAAATACTACAAAACTATACAACAACTGAAGATGGTTTCGAAATGACTATGGTAGTGAATTATTTTGGACCATTTCTATTGACAGAATTATTGTTACCATTGTTAAAAAATGCTGCATCATCACGAATAATAATTGTTTCCTCCATGATTCATGAAAGAGGTCGCATTATCAAACCAGATTTGCAATATGATCAAAAAACCTATAAAGCATTAAATGCATATAGCACATCTAAATTAGCAAATGTGATACATGCTATTGAATTAAGTGAACGTTTGAAAGATTGTGGTGTAGTGGCTGTTAGTCTACATCCTGGAATTGTCAATACTGAAGTGATGAGGGATCTGACAAGTTTTCCATCGGTTCGAATTATTTATTTTAGTGCTATATATTAAAAAAAAATATTATTAAGATTATTTTCATCATAAACAAAGAAATGATAAATGATAAAAGTCCATACAGTTAAACATTCCAAACCCATAGCATAACAATTTTATTCATGATGACATGATTATACACATAGTGACTTGATAATGATGAATGCTATGATACAAAACTCATTAGGTGATCAATGTCATATAGTAAATAATCTTGTTTACATTTAAGGTATACTTATAAACAATTATTAGTCTGAATTATCATCGTATAGATTAGTTGATTTAATCTGCAGTTTACCATAATTTGCTTCCAGGTTTTCCATGGTGGTCTAGTTTCAATTGACTCATGATTTCAACTATGAAAATACTGAAATCTCCACAAAACCTTTTCTGATTTTAATCATATGCTCACTAGTGACTGACTTCAAGAGATATTTCCTGGAGTTCTAGTGAGAAGCAGTGACCAGTGGAGTTCAACCACGTCTGTTGTGAGATATCAACTCACTGAAGACAATTGGTGAACGGTTGCTCAAACATCGTGGATTGGTTGGAGTCAGACATTAACACCGTTGGATACCGGATCAGTGGTCTATCGGTTAAGTGCTCTGGTGCGGGGCTGGTAAGTTCTGGGTTGGGATCTCGCGAGTGCTGGATCGTGGATGGGCACTGCTGAGAAGTGGGTCTCGCCATAGGACGAAACGGCCGTCCAATGCTTCCAGGTTTTCTATGGTGGTCTAGCTTCAATTGACTCATGATTTCAACTATGAAAAAATCTCCTTTGTACTGATGGATCAATAACACAGTTTAACGTGCCATATTTCAACGCTGTATACAACGAAAAACAATGAATGAAAAAGCTTCTAAAATGAAACTGGAAATAAAACGAAACTAAATATTCTATACTCTGATCATGAAAATCATTTATTATAACTGAGAGATATTATTAATGTGAAGTATACTCACTGTTTATTATGTAATCACATGAAATTACTATATCATAAATGATGTAGAATAATAGAAATTAGGATTACGATTTACAAGTGAACATTAGGGTTAGGAATTAGATTTCACGGTTTACCTCACAAACTGACATCAGCTGTAATGCCAAAATGACATTTAACCAAATGAGTGAATGAATTTCATGCCAAAATTCAAGACCTGTTATCTTAAAAATGATTGGTTCGTCGACTGTTCCTTACGATGTTTTCATCAAGTTGAAACATTTCACTTACAAAATTTAAGAAACTTTTTTTTCACTAATAACCTTGACTGCTTTTATGTGAATGTATATGTGTTTATCACTCACTTTAGTTATCACAAGTCTTAAGCTTATTTTTAGTCTGAGTATGAATAGTGAGTCATATTTTACCAAATGGAATCGACACGCTTGCCCTCCTCACTTCGTTCCGAATCTGCATATCAATGATTGTTTGAGTAAACAAATGTTTGAAATATATGTTCCTCAAATATTTCCACATCCAACTCCTATTATCTAAGTTTCTATTAACGGGATTAGTTGATAGAGTTTATCAGAAATAAATAGTATATATATTTCACCACCACCACCACCACCACCACCACCACCACCACCATCACCACCACCACCACCACCATCACCACCACCACCACCACCACCACCACCACCACCACCACCACCATCATCATCATCATCATCATCGTCGTCGTCGTTTCGTTATCCGCTAAAAGATAAATGGCCGGAGCACAACCTGGTAAATAGTATTTGGTTGACGATAAGAGAATAAACGAACATGACGTCGACCACTATTCAGTGATCACTCAACTGTAAACATATCAGCACGACAGGAAGCAGTTGCGAGTCGAACAGGTCATTTGTAACGTCTCCCCTACAAAAGTAGATAACAACTACATTAGGCGATAGTCCAGTATCTTTTGCTTACGAAATCTCCGGCAACACAAAACACAATGATTTGTGTCATAGTTACTGTCCACTGAATCTTGATTTTCAATGGTTGATAATGTAATAATGTAATTTAATAATAATAATAATACCAATTAAAAAAATTTCATCCAATGATTAGAAATTAATTACTGAAATCTTAATTTTAGAAAATTATACGACCATTGATTCGGTCTGTACTTACAACACCATGGAAAGGTGCACAAACTACTCTATATACTGCACTAACAGATAACTTGATTCCTGGAGGTTACTATTCAAACTGCACATTGAAAACACCTTCAAAATATGCTCAAAATGTGGAAGATAGAAAATGGTTTTGGAATAAAACATGTGAACTATTGAATATACAATGTGATAACTAAATTTGAATGTTTACACATGTAGAGTATGTAGACAGAATTCTGTGTTCATTTTGATGATTGTATTGTGGCAGATTTGACAAGAAACCAGCTAATAGAATGTGATGATTTTCAATTTGGTGTTATTTACAATATGATTTCACTTTGTACACACTGATTTGTATGAATAAAAGAGTTAATAGTTTGTCTCTGTTTTCTGTTTGATTAATGGCTACTTGACTCGTCAATCATTTTTTACTGAATGATTACCTCTGAGACCAATAAATATCTCGTGGAAAACACTCATTATTCACTTTGTATGAATACACGTCATCAAATTGAAATCATTTTCCATGCGAAAATCTGATCTTCACTAATATTACTGAGAATACACTGCTGTTGTATGTGTAATATAACTGTTGATATTTCGGAGTAGACAACTATGGTTTATATTTTGAAATAAATAAATAAACACAATGCCAACCATTAACGTAGCACAAATGCCACTTCGGTTCACAGCACTACGGATAGTGTTTATATTCGACTTAATCAGATTCGATACTCCCAGTCTCCTTACTATGCTCTCTTTGATATATCATGATAACGACAGTCCAAATACTTCGTTAATAAACTTTTTGGTTGACTCCTCTTCGAAAATCCACCCCCACAGGTTCCCTCGAATTGGTCATAGAGACTTTAGTTGGATTGTAGCTAAAGGTTGATGTAACATTGACCACCAGTCACTATTGTCACGTACGGAGCTGAAACGTAGAGAGGTAGAGTCAAGAAGGTACAAGTATTTATAAACAGTTGTTTGGGCAAAACACTGAACAAATAGGACGAAATGCACGTCGTTGATTCCACTGCTTGCCACTATCAATCTTTGCTTATAAGGCATGTGAATTAAAGCTATATCGAGGCAATACACACAGTATCCACATATGCCAATAAGAAACTGATCAGTTGCAGTCCTAAACATCAATGGGGAGATTCAAACAAACAATACCAAGTGAATTTATAACCTTCATTATTTAATTCACTGTTGAAATGTAAATTGAATGATTAAAGATTTAGCTTCAGGATAATTCCATTCAAACTAAAAGAAACATGAGTATAGAAAATACGTTGACATAAAAGAAACTGCAACATAAATTATAATATTGTTGTCAAGTCTGTTTTACGTTCTTTTTCCTTATGCACTTCCCTTGTACTCTTTTGTGTATTGTATTATACTACTTATTGATATCCAGTATGCTAAGGTTTATTGAAGCCTTAGTCATACGAAAATTCAAACCCCCTTTGTGTATTCAAAAACACTGGACGGCCGTTTCGTCCTATTATGGGACTCCTCAGCAGTGCGCATCCACGAACCTGCTCTCGCGAGCGAGATTCGAACCCAGGACCTACCAGTCTCGAGCCGAAGCCCTTAACCGATAGACCACTGAGCTGGCATCCAACGGTGTTAATGTCTAACTTCAACTGATCCACGAAGTTGAGCAACCATTCACCAGCTCAGTGGTCTATCGGTTAAGGGCTTCGGCTCGAGACTGGTAGGTCCTGGGTTCGAATCTCGCTCGCGAGATCAGGTTCGTGGATGCGCACTGCTGAGGAGTCCCATAATAGGACGAAACGGCCGTCCAGTGTTTCCAGGTTTTCCATGGTGGTCTAGCTTCAATTGACTCACGCTTTCAACAATGATAAATACTAAATCTCCACAAAACCCCTTCTATAATTAATATTCAAAAACAGTTTGTTCTCTCCTTAAACCTACCCTGGTAATATATGCTTATTATCCAGAGTGATTAGGTGTCAAATTGTTTTCACATTATTTTATCATTATTAACCTTGTCTACTCTTACCCCCCTCCATTTCCAGTCTAGTTGACCTTTTATTTTTATATATAAATGTTCTTAACAATTATATTATGTGTGATCAGATTGTTCGAAATGTATTGCGCTAATGTATCACATATATCTGACAATCTTCGTCTTCTCATTACATTATCGAAATCCAGTAAATAGTTGTAATGCTAGCAATTTCAACACCTATGTTGTAAGGCATGTTTGTCGCGTATTATTCTAAAATATTTCCATATACTTATAACATTTATTGTATTTATCACTATAATTACTGTATCTCAATTATTGTAGCAGTTGCTCGCAATTTTTCTCAATCGTTCAACCCTTGTCTAAACGCAAAAGTTTCCATACAGTTAGCTCTTGGTTCGGTGTTTTGCTTGTTAATAGACTGTTACCAAGTTTAGACACAGCTAACAGATGTCATTTTCAATATCATATGTTGTAATCATTCTTTATTTTTACTGCAGCAGGAAGCCTTTTTTATTTCAGATCTTCAGATGCTGTAAACGCCACAGATACCTCACAAGTTGAGGTTTGTAAGTAATTTATGTAAATTATTCAATAAAGAACCGGTTTTTAGACAAATCGTTGTTTTGTGAACTACGATTTTGCGCGTTTCTCAATTGGGTGATTGAGACGTTTCGATCGATACAACAGTTCACACTTTCGGTTCAAATTGGTTTGAATCACCTCAGTAGACAACTCTAGTCTAAGATTGGTCCTGGTGATTTGGTCTGACAATGATGCGGATCAGGGAAATGAAGTACAGTACAAACAGTTCAGAAGAAACATATGATTTGATTTCTGAAAATATTGTTTTATCAGCTTCCAAGTTGAACTCACCTAATTCTTTAAATCTTATGTTTTGTTAGTGGGAAACCAAACTCAAAGGATAGTTGTCTCTTAGTTGACCCCAATGTAAGTACCAAATGTGAGGTAGGTGATGAAGAATCCATTCTTAAAAAGATGGAAGTAGAAAGCATTGAGTTATAGATTAGGCAGCTTGAGCATCGTAAAGGACTGTTAGAATTAAGACAGATACTTGTTAACAAGGTGGAAAGCGAGAATCGAGTGTTTGAGCAATCTGTGCCATCATCCAACGTTGTTGAGACAAATGTTGGAAGAAATAAGGCTGAGACATATGACTGAAATCTACTATTGGGATGACGTGATGGAAAGATCCAGGTCTCATAAAAACAAAGATGAGGACGCTGAGGAACTTTGTAGGTGTCTAACTGATCAGTCTGTTGGACTTCGCGAAGCTTAGAACTGTGAGCGAATTCAGAAGTGAAGAAACGTTCTGTTGACTGAACTACACGAAACCTCCTTCTTGAAAGAAAAGCAAATTCATGCTTCTGAACACGTTAACAATGACGCAGTTATTCACGATATGCAGAGTTATTTTCGTCATGTGTAACACGTTTAGCAACCACCTCAGGTTAATTTGCCTACTTTCTAAAACACATTCGACATTGTTCTGCGACACAGTAAGCCTAAACTCAGCATTTCTCACCACACAACCAATCATCTGGATCTGTTCATCATTAAGTATTTGTGATCTGTGCATGTATTGCACCTTTCCAGACTGTTTCGCACCCATTAAGTAAACCAGGAATTGTATCAGTGCAGTAATCTCCTGCTGTTCTACATACTCTGCACTTTGTCAGCATATTCATCGAACAGATTTGTGTTAGCTGAATACTCCTTGTTGGTGTTAAAACAATCATGCACGAGTTGAGTCGTTAGACAGTGGTTGTTATAGCCTAGTGAAGATGAAAGTACGGGTAACTTCCGGGACCTAATAATGGACTATTATTCTACATATATTCTTATTGTATAACTATTAAATAACTTAATTATGTATATCTATATTCATCTTATTATAAGCTTCATTTTGACCTATGGGTTAGTATTATACGATTTACTGTTCCTAAATTATACTCAGTTTACTGATTACTGTCTCCCACATTCACAGACACATTCGGCTTGATTTTGTACAAATATTATTTTCTATTTTATAGAGTGACGCGGTCTGTTTGTTTGGTATATAAACCAAGTATGCTTGAAATAAATGATTCACATAACAGAACCTGTTATTGATGTTCTGGACTTAACTGGAAGTGCTAGGCGGATAAAGGATCAATAAGGATGCTAGGTTGTTCATACCGGTCGAATGTCATTGGTTTGGCACAGTGCTAAGATTGGAAAAGTCGTATTCCGATTGGTGATTAAATCACGTTATAAAAACCGGGCATAATATCACAACAAATCGGAGTCGGCCTTTTCCATTTCTTAATACTGATATGGAGGGAACGACACTTCTAGAGCTATATGCGTAATAAAACAAACATTGATGTCACGATGAAGCAGTCATTACAGATACCACTAGACGAAGCATGATGATGGATTATACATTGGCTTCAAACCTGTAGGAAGGTAAATATTTAGTCAGTTATCAAAATCATGGACTGTAATGCTTTTTCAACAGTATTATTTATGCAGACAACTATATGGATTTCGTGGAGAAATTTTCGATCTCTTTTGTATAGACGAAGACACTGTTAATTCGAACTGTTGGAGCTAGTCGTACATTCAGAAAAACTGAAGTCAAAAGTTGTGTTGGTAACACGTCTCAACGTAAAATTAAGAGACGGGTTTGAGTTTGATGCAAGTATGAATAACTGAAATGTTCAGTAGGTGACCTATTCGTGTTCATTTGTACGGTGGAAGAATTTATCTGTATTGGACTGTGAAGAGATTGATCTAATATTGTGGCTAGTTCTAACATTTTACAGGACTGAAGATTTTAAATATGCGTCAATTTGAGACTTGTTACATCGGGCATTTTTAGGACTAGTTTCTGCCTTATTAGCAGCTATTTCGAAAATCATTTACCCCGAGGTACAGATTATGAGAGAGTTAGTTTGCATAAGTTCATTGAGAGCCCTTAATAAATACTTCGTTCTGTTATGTGTGTATATAAATCTTGGACTTGATGAGTGTCCATTTAAAACTATGCACTCCTCAAATAATTTGGATGCCGGTATTACATACTTTCTCTCAGAACTTAAATTCATTAATTTTTCTTAGTCTAAATTACCAGTGAATCTGAGATCTGCAAAAGCGTGATGTGTTAAATCGCTCATAAAAGGAGTACAGTAGATGAATCTACGTTATGTCAGTAAACATTTTCTTTTATAAATTGTAAGTTTTATTGGCTAATAAATGAACATTCAACTATAAAGTTTATTGAGTAGAATACTGATCGATCAATATTATGCAATTATTCAAAGTGTAATCGAGTGATAACAGCTCACTAGACCGCATTAATAACTCAAGTCTGTGAGTGATTCGATAACAAAGATAAGACCTTTAACCAGAACAATAGGTTTTTATAGCGAAACAACATATAAGTAAAGAAAATGAATAATACAACTGAAGTTAATTAGTTTGCATGTCAAGTACGTTCCAATCAATTCAGACCAGACTGTCATGTATAAATTTTAATTATTGTATCACCTGCCCCACAAATTGACGTGGCATCTAAAAATATAGGTAATGGAACGGTGTAGACTAGGAGATCAGAAACATTGCTCGATAGCATAGCTGGTGCTATGAGAATGGGAACATCCTGAATACAGACCTCCACAATCATGGAATCAATGAGACATGATGTGGTTGTGCCTTCATATCAAAATTATGGACTCAGTTTACAGCATTATACACTTGATCTCATTTGATCCAATTTCTAAATGTAGAAAACTGATCACTTTAATTTATATATCAAAGTATTTTTCCTCCAAGAGTTTCATCTGAACCTCCAGCTGGTATGGAATACCGAACATAACCTACTCAGAACAGAACGGCAACTATTATTAATGCCGAATGATGAATGTATTTTTGCTATATCTCAATGAGTAGAGAAATTGTATCTCTGACGTTTCGTGACTTAGTATATATAAAAAGATACATTTATTATTAAATTTGTACCAAATTATATATATATATATATATATATATATATATATATATATATATATATATATATACTCGAATCTTATTAATGGCCCTTGCCTTGCTTTGCTTCTTATCGATTCGATTCTATTTTTCTCTGAAACTGTCTCTGCATGCGTTCGCTTGCGCGCATTAACCTCTCTGCTTCAATGTGCTGGATATGCTTGTAACTTTGTTATCTGTGCTATCAACTAATAAAAGGTAGTTGCCGATACATATTGCCTTCTGAATTCATACGCCGTCAGAATTTATTTATTAACGGTTCTCAGGCTGAATAGTAAACGAAACCTCTGAATCTATCTCGAGGCAACGAGCCACTAAAAGTGTCTGAAGACATGGAGATATAAACATTAGTGAAAATGATGTTCCGTGTTTCATCATATTCAATGATTCTTACACTCATCTCATTCCGTGATGAAAACTATTTTCAAGTCGATCTGTTCAATAACAAACAAAACCACAACCAGTCAAATCATTCATTCAATACTCATACCATCCAGTCAAGTAACAATCAATCAAACAGAAAAGCACAGATACACATGTAACACTTCCATTCATTCAAATCAGTGTGTACAAAGTGAAATCATATTGTAGATAACACCAAATTGAAAATCATCACATTCTATTAATTGATTTCTTATCAAATTTGCCACAATACAATCATCAAAATGAACACAGAATTCTGTCTACATACTCTACATGTGTAAACATTCAAATTTAGTTATCACATTGTATATTCAATAGTTCACATGTTTTATTCCAAAACCATTTTCTATCTTCCACTTTTCGAGCATATTTTGAAGGTATTTTCAATGTGCAATTTGAATAGTAACCTCCAGGAATCAAGTTATCTGTTAGTGCAGTATATAGAGTAGTTTGTGCACCTTTCCATGGTGTTGTAAGTACAGACCGGATAAGTGGTTTCAGAACATTCTATGATGAATAAGGTCAATATTACATATTTGAATAAACAGAATAATTAATAACATTGACAGGTTATTACAGTATGTATATTGATAAATCCTAATGATTTATAAAGTTTTGTATAAACTTCATATATATATAGGATATACATGTTGGGAACATACTCAAATATTCACTTAGTATTGTTTGTTTGGATCTTCCCATCGATGTGTTTAGGACTGCAACTGGTCAGTCTCTAATTGGCATATGTGCATACTGTGCGTATTGCCTCGATATACCTTAATTCACAAGCATGGTAAGCAGAGATGGATAGTGGCTAGCAGTGGAATCCAGGACGCGCGTTTCGTCCTATTTGGGACTCGTCAGCTGGATGTACCTGCATCTCAGAGTTGATGTTCACTCTGGGACTCGAACCCAGTACCCTCGCTTCAAACGTCATCGCGTTATCCACTCGGCCACTGAGTCCTGATAGCCACTTGCTTGTGCGATGGGGTGAAGTTTGAATTCATTTAGTATTGTTTGTTTGGATCTTCCCATCGATGTGTTTAGGACTGCAACTGGTCAGTCTCTAATCCAGGAATCCAGGACGCGCGTTTCGTCCTATTTCGGACTCGCGTCCTGGATTCCACTGCTAGCCACTATCCATCTCTGCTTACCATACTCAAATATTGTCCTGTTTATTTCATTGCTTAGTAACAATTATTATACGAAAGAAATTAGATTCATTAGGCATTAAATCTCTGCGTCAACATACATATTACGACTATTGTAGTGTGGCTTACTGATATCCACGTAAGTAATATATGGTGATGGTCAGGGATGAAATGTTTTTCAGTGGAAGATCGATGAGGAGAGTACGAGAACGGCTTGCAATTGGTACAAAAATGCATGAACAATTTTAATCGGAAACTGTTGACGGATATTTGCAGAAGAAACAGTCAAATTGAAACAAATGATTGTTAATTTGCAAATTAACTGTTCCCTATATGGTTCTCATATTTTCATTAGATATTCTGTAATGCTGTGCTATAATACATTCGATTGTCCCCCCAACTAGTGTTCTTATTCAGTACACTATTTTATAATAAATTTTTGTTAAAAAGACAAATAAAACTCTCTCACCATAGGAAAATATGTTAGATTCCTCATCAGTTCAGTTTTGATCGCTCCAGGATGTAAACTGACAACCACTATACCACTATCTTTTAAACGTTCACTTAATTCAATAGCATGTATCACATTTGCCAATTTCGATACACTATAAGCTTTCATTGCCTCATAATTTTTCTTACTGTATTGCAAATCAGGCTTTAGAATGCAGCCATTTTCATGCAGTGCAGATGACACATTTATTATTCGTGATGGTGTAGCATTCTTTAACAATGGTAACAATAATTCTGTCAATAGAAATGGTCCAAAATAATTCACTCCCATAGTCATTTCGAAACCATCTTCAGTTGTTGTATAGTTTTGTAGTATGATTCCAGCATTATTGATGAGAAAATCGATTTTTTTGTATGTACTTTTAATTCTATCAACGAATTCTCTGATTGATTTCAATGAACCTAAATCAAGCTGTTCAATTATCAACTAGAATGAAATTGAAATATTGTAGAAGAAGAAAATTAATGAAAACCTTCAATAAAGTAATGGTCTCGATTGCTTCAGTAAAATTTCAATATAGTATAGTGGGACGCAAGATATCATGCATTTGATTCATTTTAAAAATTCGATTAAAGCCTAAACAACTATTGAGACATAATTATATGATATCATTGTGTTTCATCGTTCACCTTCAGTTTCTTACATCCATATATGTAGTGAAGTCCACCCATATTTGCAGTTATTATTATTTTCCATCATTAGTATCGATGATTTCATACTGTTTCATATTTCAATGTTATACATCACTACATATATGATTATAAGAAGCCTACGAGGAGACGCGAAATATAATGAATTCATCTGTTGTTTTAACCTTATTTGGGCATTATAACATTTGATCTTAAGGACTGAGGAAAGTTAGCTTTGAATGCTTTATGACCTGTTAAATAATTGATTGATAATTAGGTGTATGATATATGATTGCACCATTAGAGACAGTGTAATGAGTAGATTAGTTCGACATGTCTATCATTACCAACATGAACACTTTCATTGATTGTCAGCAGGATCGATCAATAAATGAGAAAGGGAAGTTTGTTGAAATACTTTATGCTGAAATTTCTATATCGTACCAAAAATATAATATTGAATGAAGCTCTAATAACAATAATAAAAGTAACTGTGTTCATGGTGTGTCGGCGAATCAACGGATGAGTTCATGCAAACATGTTTTCTCAACTAATGAATATTCCAATCAATAACATGAGCTCGTCACATTATTTTACATGTGATTCAGTGATCTGGAAGAATCGTATTTTCTACAAGGCATGAATATTCTTGTGTTGAGATTGAGAGAGTGAGCGATGAGGTGTTTAATCTGAGGTTAGTACCAAGCAATTGTTGAATGCAAAGCAGTTATAAGTAATTATTATTATTATTAATGGCTTTATTCACTATTATAATCTGGTACAATATAGAATTCTCAGCACGAGTTATTTCAACAAGATTTTTTCCCAAAAAAATAAAACCAAAAAAAGAACAACAACAAAAAACAGAAATAAAATATAAAAAAGGTTTAAGAAAATCTGACTTTATACAAATTATCGAATATGAGACATGCTTAAGAAGACAGGTTATTTACTAGGTCAACTCTAACATCCTGCTGATGTTAGTTTGTCATGTAAATCGTCTGAAAATACAACAATATCCACAAATACATACTTTAATGACATGCAAATAACTCGAAGAGAATATGAATAATTCAGTATTGACATACCTGATTCCAAAAGATGGGCTTTAAAGATGACTTCACTTGACTACATGCAACATCGGTTTCTTCACTTTTCTCATTAATCTTACCATACATTTCCAACAGACGAGTTCTAGCTTCGTTGGCTCGTTCCATATTTCTACATGCCATAATGATTGTTGCACCACGACGAGCTAATTCACTGGCTGTATGAAAACCGATTCCAGTGTTACATCCTGTCACAATTGCAATTTTCCCATCCAATCTCTTCCTGATGATACATAACTTTTTCCTTGAACCAATTGTCTCTTTCGTTATCTTGGACATGGTAAAGTGATTTCGATATTGAGTTTATGTTGAATGTGTGATGTGTGAATTGTACACGAATTTAAACTGAATTCAATGTAATATCTAACCAATTATATTGATTCAATGATAACAGACAATTACTGACCGTATTATTTTGTTTATCTGCGGTACCAGTCGCATACTTTTAGATGTTATTTTTTTTATATCAAACTCGGCATATTTTGATCATTCTTTAAATGAATGATATTAGACTGAGAATTTATATGTGGTCAGATAATTACCTTTATGCGGATTCAAAATGTTCTATAGAAGGAGTCAGAAAAATTCTCAATAACAAGATTATTTTCAATTTGGTACTCGTTATCAATTTGACTATCCACTGTTGAAGCAAATACTAAATGGCTGTACCACGTCAACGGGAATGGTTCGGATACTATTTTATACGATAAACTGGGAAGTGATTATTCTTCCTTGTTTAGATTACTATGTATTAGAGACTTAGTTCAACCATCGACACAGTCAGTAAACTCATTTGTTTTAAGAAGATCCACTCAATTAAGATAGCACCAGATATATATGCGATATACTATTGAATTCAGTGGGAATTCAATGTATCGATACGTTGGATGAAATCATTGAATTTTAAATTTCGAATGTGAACAATGGTCAGCCAAAAATGAAACAATAAAACAAGAGAAAATAGATCAGTGGAAATTTAATAGTTAGTTCAACTTGTTCTTATAGACAAAGATTTGGCTATTTTGGTTATCCTTACAAATTTTGAAATGCACTAGATATGTACAAAAGTATGTGTTGGTTGATTGAATTTGTTCTTATTGGTAAATTCGTAGGATTAGTCTTATACTATGTGGTAACAGTCAACTACATTTTACAGAGTAGGAAATTTCATGTTTCTAAGCTGAAATTCACTGAACTGGTAAGTGTTGTCTCAAATACTCAGAATATATATTATGATGAATGCCCATGTAGATATTAGGTGAATAAATATGTGTTCATCGATTCGGTCAGTCAAAGTAAATTACTGTTTAGGAAGATGTACATATGAGTGGAGTACGTAAAGTATCCACAGTGAAATTTCATAGATTTAGTTCCCTTTATTATCTTGAATAGAGAAAGATCAAAGAATTGAATAGAATAACATAGATTCATTTGTTATTTCGTTATGTTCTCATATATATGTGTATCATCATGTTGGAGTAGTGAGATTGAACACATATAATGAGTGTTGTAAATAAATAAATAATAATATGTGAGAGACGATTTAGGATCATCAGACACGGTAACAAATAAATAATTTTCACAGTTGAAAGCGTGAGTCACCTGAAGCTAGACCTACATGGATAATCTAGTAGCACTGGACAGCCGTTTCGTCCTACAATGGTACCCACTCCTCAGCAGTGCGCATCCACTATCCCGCATTCACGGGTGTCGTACCCAGGACCAGCAAGTCTCGAGCCAGAGCCCTTAACCACTAGACCAGTGAGCCATCATCCAATGGTGTTAATGTCTAACATCAACTGATCAGCGAATTTGAGCAGCCGTTCACCAATTGTATTCAGTGAGTTCCTATCTCACAACAGACCTGGTTCAACTCCACTGGTCACTGCTTCTCACTAGAACTCCTTGATGTATTATGAAAATACTAAATCTCGACAAAACCCCTTCTGATAATTAAAATATTTAATTGATTAATTAATGAAGTAGTTGAACATAAATCAATAAGAAATTTAGTGACCCGACATTTAAGTTCATCATAAGTCTAAAATAACTTATCACTTAAAAATACTTTTACTTATTTCTGTGTGTTTGTAATTTCTGTGAAACAACACACATTCCATTTGTATTTAATTTAAAACCAAATTAGATGAAGAAATATGAAAAGTACAAGACGTTAATTATCAGTATAAAGAAAAATCAATATCAAAGTGGTCGTAAAAATGAAAGCGACACTACTTCTAGAACAGTGAGTAGTTTTGTGACCTGTTGATTTGACTCTGATATGGATGAACGTATGAATATGTTACGAATATAAATCTGCCACATAACTCCGCCTATTACATAGGCTTATTCTATTTGCGTGACGGCGGTAATAAGAAGCTAAAAACGGGTTACGTTAGATGAATTCGTTCTAAGCGTTCGTTGATTCAAATAGACATTCAGAATGAAAAGTAGGGAAGCGGAATGAAGAAGGCGAATGTGCCAACTCCATTTAAAGAAGCATGATTGAATTATTTATAGCAAGAAAATAATAAGCTACAGACATGTGCATGACAGGATAAGCAACACACACACACACTTACGCTGAAATAGAAGCAGTCAAAGTTAGTGAGGGAATAATGGACATGGTCAAAGTGTGACTCAAGATGAGCGAATAAACTGGACATTCCGAAAACTAAAATAACCCGTTTTTGGTTTGACATGGTACTAGACAGTAGAGTTGTATTGCAGTGAAGAGAACACCACTGGGGAAAATCGAATGTATATAAGCACAAATTACAGTTCATCTTCTCTAACTCCATTGTTAATGAATTGAAAATTGTTTTGTTCTCTCACAGTAGGATGTTGCTAATATTATCCGATCAACAACGGACATTGGTTATCTTGTGCAGACAATTGTTTGGAATTATCCGTACTTTTTCGGTGATGGCTGTAGTGGTTCTTCAAGTTTCAGTTCAGTACAGTAGAGGTGTCTTGAAGTTCGTATTAAAGATCATGACTTTGATGTTAACTGACAGTTGTTTTGAGTTCCATATGTTTTTCAACTGTAGGAATGCTGTCCTTGCTTTGTCAATTTTCGCTTTTACGAATGCGTACGATCCTCCTTGTCCATCGATTATGCTGCTGACCAGGTACATGGAAGACCCTACATCTTCTGGAACGTCTCTGTAGAGTGTGATTTGGTTGGTGTTCTCTGTGTTGCAGTTGGTGATGTTGGTTTTTCTCTTGTATATTAGTAAATGCATTTTAATGTACTCAGAAAAGAGGAAGTTAAGCATGAAAATATGGTAAACTATAATCTTAACTATTTAATTCAATTTTGAAATATGAGTTGAATGACTGAACGTTTATCAGACAGATTAGCTTCTTTCACTTCAGTATACAATTATCACTACTATGACGTAATTATGTTATCACTTAGTCCACCATCATACAAATTACGGCATAAATAATTAGTTTATAGACGAGACAAATACCATAGTTTCTTTACCGATAGTTAGGTACATACGAATATTGAAAATGTGACTTTTCTTACACTGTGTGGCCAAATTACTTGGACAAGAAGGCCGGAAACCTAGATTAGCATATCAGAACCGTATAGATTATTTATATATCTTTCCTATATAGGATTCAATGCAATTACTATCCTATTTTATCTGAAACTGGTTACGATGTCTTTGAAGAATGAGATGGGAATATTTATGAAAAGTAGTTAGTTTCTGAAAACACATCAGTTTACTAAATCGACTATTATAACAGACTTATATAATGAGTTGTTATATTCAGCAATACAGACTACCTTTCATATAATCGTCCTAACAACACAGTAAGAAAAATAATTAAGTTTACAGTTGATCAAATTTAATAAGTATGGACAAGGCTAATAAAATGACTCAAACAGTAGAAATAATTTAGTTGATGTATGATATGGATTCATCACTCAGTTCCGCGGTCACATCTATTCTCGGTCGACACCAAGGACCTAAACACAACACTAATTCTCATTCGAAACCATTTCCCTTAACTATTCTATTTGTACATCAAGATTTTGATCGATATAAAAATTAAGATAAAAAGTCATATTTATTTTTTCTATTACCCCTAGGATTTAAAAATACACTAAGCGTTAATTCATTTTCTATTGGTTGTTTGAGTCTTCTCATTGATGTTTTGGACTGTAATTGACCAGTCTCCTTTTGGTATATGTGCATTCCGTGCGGATTATCTCAATCTAACCACTAAGTGACAGGTATTATAAACAGAGATGGATGATGGCTCGCAGTGGAATTAATTCAGTACGCGCGTTTTGTCCTATTTGGAAACCGATCAGTCAAAGTCGTAAATACCAGTGAGAGCCAATACAAGTAACCCATACAAATCAATTAAAGTTCACTCCATTGGACAAGTCATTGGCTATCTGAACTCAGTAGCTGAACGGACAACGCGTTGGAGTTCTAAGCGGAGGAAAGTATCAAGTTCAAGACAGGGAGCGGGTATCAACTCTGGGATTGAGGTACACCTAGCTGAAAAATCCCAAATCGGACGAAACGCGTGTCCCAGATTCCACTGCTAGCCACCTTCCGTATAGTAACGTTTATTCATATAACTCAGAATTAACAAAAGGACGTGTTCAGTAACAATTCATTGTACAGTTAATAACAGTAAATTATGAAAGATGTGATTCATATATAAGCTTATACTTAAATTTATTATTTCTTTAAACAGACTATTTTCAAAGCTTTGAATTTAATTAAGATACTGAGATCCCACAAAATACCACTTCTTTCTTACTTACCTTTAGAATTAGTACCCCAGAGACTAGTTACCATGGTGTTGCTTAATTCTGGGCTTCCGATTGATGTTTGCTTTGCAGTAATTGGTTGCCTATTCACTGCCCCTAATCTGATAGTTGGCCTAGGACCTAATGCAACCATTTCTGCGTGTGCTGCTACTACTCTTAGATCTAAAGACCGACTAACTCTAATTGAATGTCTTGGGGATAATTCTTGAGCTAAAGATAAGCTATTATCTTCTGCTAAACCACCGTTGATTGATGATACGCTGAATATACCTTCATCATCTATAAAATAATCAAAATAAAACTGTCAAACTAAGGTTTATATACATATATATGTACATATTTCTTGAAATAAAAACAAGCTTCGATTCATTGGATCACACTGCCTTCATTGCCTTTCTCTTAATTTGTTTACCTATTCAATGATCTGTAAATTCTTTGTATCGTCACAGAAAAAAATAATAGTACTACATTAGTTTGTTTGTTTTGACAAACATTAAACAGTGTTGGGGATGTCAAATCCCCAGAACTTGCTTGGTAAATGGCTTAGTTTTGTAATTTTATTTTTGAAATTTGAATTTATCTGTTTTCGCGCCAAACGCGCTCTTTTTACTTTAACATTATATTTCCCACTTTTAAATTAACTTAAATGCTATTGGTCCATAGTTTCTTTGTGTGTGCTATTTATTAATGGTGCTCAAGAACAATTTGTTGCTTGACTTTTTCCCTTATTTGATTGCTTGTACTCGTCTGCTTTCGGAATATATATATTCCCCTACTTGCCTTGGACTTCTTCATCTAGTTAGCGTGGCCTGGGATAACAGATTACAGTAGCTTATCGTGTCATTGTGTCATTGACTTTCGTCCGTTACCGCGAAAAATCGATTTAGTTCAAGCATATCAAACAGGAAGAATATATTTGTAAAATCCAACGTTTTGCCTGGCAATCTGGTCCAAGCATTTTCAGGGAATTATGATAATATTGTAGTTGTAAATAATTCCTCAAAATCAATAGCTCATTAAGTGTTCGACATTGAATGTTAATTGAAGACTTTCGGTAAATCATCCGTGCCAGATCACGTTGCAACTCGTCATGGGACACAGCTCCTACGTCTCCATAGTTAGCTAAGAACGAACGACTTTCGATATATTGGTAACGTATCAAATATATCTTTCCTACCTCTTCTCGTCTGACTTCTGATTTCCTTTGGCCGGGAACGATCGATTATAGAAGACACTACTGGTTGCTAGTTGTTATTCTAGAATATCCGTCGTATCTTCAATATATTATTCCTATTTAATGTTTACATCAACTCGGTGCACAAATACTGTGAAACTATTCGCTATAATTTAGACGAAAGTTCTTATGAAGAAGAGATCCAGATGTATCGAAATGTAGCATCAATTGAAAAGAATTAACTGAAACTTGCAAAGAATGAAATGAAATTTCAAATTTATATACATCCATAAATAAGAATAATTAATGTAATGAAATATCGTTCTATAGATTATCAATAATTCTGAATCAAAAACTAAATTGAATTGGGAAAATTTTAAGTTAGTCCCTTTTTTGGTGACTTTCGTCTATCCATCTCTTCTATGAACTAGACATTCATGATGATGATGATGATAAATTTATTAGAAATGAAAAGAAGAGAATTTCAAGTGAATGTGTAACAACAAATGGACTTTATGATGAAATGCATGCTAACAAAATTTCATGCAAACATGATTAATAATACAAAAGTCAGTCAGTCAAATCTTGAGTGCTTCTAGAGGTATGAGGGTAGTTATCACTTCCCGGTTGCCTACACCGTGAAAGGATTCTTCTAGAGTTATCTGAAAAGGAAATTGAGTTAGAAGTGGTCTTAATGACCTGAGAGCGTGACCGTAGTGCCCAAGGGACAACTGCTTGAGGTCGGTCACACACGACCATTTTGTGAGTAAATTTTATGTTAGCTCGTACTTGTTGGGACCTTACAGCCGGAGAAGGATATCTGTGGGATAAGGCGAGGTGTGCATTTCAAGGGTCGACCTTTTCTAACCACACCCTTCCTCGTAGGAAGGCAGCATCGCTGTTATGCTGGTTGTCTGAAGGAATCATCTTACTGTCGTCACACCTCTGTACATTCAGCAGTACGAATTCGTCTTCGGACCTTGAGTTTGCTGCTTTTAGTCTTACCGCTCTTCAACCGACCTGTCTGGCATGGTAAGACCTTGGTGAGCGATTGTTTCGGTCAATATAGCTCGACTGGCTCATCACGATAGGCAAGCCCGACCACCACGTCAATGAAGCGGCTACGGTCGGGTTTTACTAACATATTGCTTATAATTATAGTTGTGAAAATTCAAACTTATTTCAAATATCTTAATATCGATGAATTTCTGGCTTTTTAGGAATATCTTCCTGATATTTCATTCATAAGACATGAATATATATACGGAAGATTGAAGTGTTAATTGAAGAGTTAATATGACAGATAACATGTACCTCCTAATTCGTAATTGTGATTATTTACATTGAATTGTGAAAAATAATCATGAAAATTTTCTTTATAAACTAGTCTATATTCATGTAAATGTTTAATTACATAATCGCGTAGAAGACGTTACACTTCCATACACGATTAAAATAAAGAAAAAATAATATTAATTATTATAAATTTGTTTCATATTAATGACAGTTAAATGTCCGTAATTCCCAAAAGGATAAGAATTCGGAGTATTTTTATATAGTTAAGATCATGAGTCAATTGAAGCTACACCACCATGGAAAACCTGGGAGCATCAGACGGCCGTTTCGTCCTATTGTGCGACTCCTCAGCAGTGCGTGTCCACGACCCCACCTCGCGAGTTTCGCACGCAGGACTTACCAGTCTCGCGCCGATAGACCACTGAGCCGGCATCCAGCGATGTTAATGTCTAACCTCAACAAATCCGGAGTATATCTAACTAAGGAACACTAAACATCACTATCCTACCCTTGTTAGAACAAATCGACTAAATTAAAGAGATATTCTGAATTATCATTTTATCGGGAATAAATGGTAGTTGAAAATAATGTCATTTGTATAATTAATGAAATCAACACGATTATTTATCACAATTTAAAATACTACTTAATTACGGATTTAAGTAAAATCAAATTGGGCTTACTGTTGAGATTTATTGATTTCAGCTGAAACAATATTTAAATCTTCCGTTTCTGAATCCCATTCATCATCTTCACTGCTTGGTACAACTGATAAATTACTAGTAGTATTAGTGGTATTTGGTTTTGTACCGAATGTCACAACTCGTTGATCATGACTAAAATGAATCTCAGGTGAATTAGATGTAGTTTGTTTTTGTTGAACAGTACTACTGTTATTATTACCACTATTATTGTTATGTAGGCAAGTTGGATATTTTTGAGAAGTCATTTGTAATTGTGATTCATTTGTAGGATTCTGTTTAGACATGGTTGGTGTTAATTTACTGCCGAAATTACTTTCTTCTGAAACATACTGAAGTTGAGGACTTGATCTTTGTAAACGTGGTCTAAGTGAAAAAGGATAACATGATTTTACACTTCATCCATTTAAATAACAAAATAATTGATGAAACGAACATTCTTGTAAAGTACATTTCCTTAGTTTAGTTTACTTGTATTGATCTATTCCGGTAATTTTTAATACGGTTTTCGTTTTTTATACTCTTAATCATTATATATAGTTGAAATCATCAGTCAGTTGAAGCTGGACCACCATGGAAATACTGGAATCACCGGACGGCCGCCTCATCCTATTGCACATCCACGATCCCGCCTCGCGAGATTAGGACCCCGGACCTATCTGTCTCGCACATGAGCACTTAACCACTACACCACTGAGTCGGCATCCGACGGTGTTTATGTCTAACTCCAACCATTCCACGAAGCTAAGCAACCCTTCACCAATGTCTTCAGTGAGTTGATATCTCACTACAGACCAGGTTGAACTCCACTGGTTACTGCTTCTCACTAGAATTCCAGGAAATACCTCATGGAGCCAGTCACTAGTGAGCATATGATAAGAGAGTTGTTTGTTACATCCGAACGAAGAATAAATGAATGTTAACTGATAGGGATTATTTCTGGACCATTACTAAACATGTTATTATTGGATAACTATTAGGCAAATACATTATATGTATATTCATATTTCTTTTGTTATAAGCTTCCATTTGACCTAATGACTACTATTATACGATTCGCAATTCTTAACTTATTCTCAATTTATTCGTTACAACCTCTCACAATCACAGTCACATTCTGCCCTGATTTTGTATAATTGTTATTTTTTACTTTATGGTGTTATGCGGCAGCTGAGTTTGTGTTCTGGACTCAACGGGCAATGTAAAGCAAGGCAAGGAGAACTAATTAAAACTCAAAGTTAATGCTAGGCTGCTCGTTCTGGTTAACACATCATTTGTTTGGCACAAGAACAAGGTCTTATAAGTCGGTGTTCTGATCGGTCATTTTGTCACGTGATAATTGACAGTGCAAAAGTCATAAAAATGTGTATAAGACTAAAGTCAATGAAACTAACCCATGTTCTAAAAACTTGTCTTTATTTTGATTTTGGTTTCTACAAGTCAGTTCTCAGAAAATATTAGAAAAAACTTTAGAAGGTAGGCAGTTTAATCTTAACATAATTTTCTGTTCTTGAAAACAGATTTACTTTGAAAAACGAACGAATTCTATGGATTCATTTTAAAAAAAGGAAGACATTTCAGTAAAGGAAACTTTCTTTTCGACGACATCACTTTCTGAAGCTACACAATCGTACTTATACATAATTTTACATCTAGTAGTCTGCAATAGAACAGAGGAGTCTTACAGAATTATCAAAGATATTCAAACTTATTCAACTGGATTTCAATGAAAATGAAATTAGGTCTTATGATAATCAAAAGATTTCAAGTATTGAGTAATAATAATTATAAGGCAAGCCAGCATAAAACGGGCAATATAGGGGCTTCCAGAGTTGGTTGCCGCTGATCAGGAAGGGAAATTTGATCTATTCTCTATTCTCAAAGGCCGGACGAATATGCATTGATGACAACTGACGATGAGCTGAATAAAATCCGACGAACTATTCTGGAGAATCTCTTTCCACCCAATCTCATCGGCAGTAATCTAAAACTGTAACGTAAAGTTCAAAGTAATTCAAATGCCACAAGGAAGGTTTTATTCTTGAATATCGAATTCGAGGAAAATACGGAAGCTGAGATATTAAAAAAAAGACAATCCAGATCCTTGAGGAATTTTTATTCAGCAGAGTTACGAACTGTTTTCTCCGGCAAGAAACTGATTCAGGGAATTTTTAAGGATAAACTGGCGTCAAGCAGATTATAATTTGCGTACCAAATATGCACGTGGTAAACGAATATCTGAGCACTACCCTGAATGGTTGTCTAAAGGGCAATACAAATAAAACAACACCTCAGTTCATGAACACGTGGTTAATTCATATATCACCCCATCACAGGAAATCTCCACTCAAAATCCTCTAGAAAGTAAAGAGAACTGGTTCAGAAAAGGCATAGATGAAGAATTTTTCGTACAGCTCAGGCTATAGTCATTCAACATTCCAAACACAAAACACTGTGTACGGGAGATTCACGTTCAATCCCGCATTTTCCCATGGTGGTAGTACTCTTCTGAATTTTACAAATGTTGATTGTTAATTATTACCTTTTTCTTTTTTACCCCTTTATTAAGTAGACGGTTATCAATATTGTTTATTCCATAGATTTCACGTTTTATTACTTCCAAAACTATTGCATAACGTAAGCTCTTGAAGATTTTTTATTAACTTTATAGTTGAATTCATGAGTTAGTTAAAGCTAGACCATCATGGAAAACCTGAAAGCACTGAATGGCTGCTTTTAATTACTTACTTACTTACTTACGCCTGTTACTCCTTGTGGAGGAGCATAGGCCGCTCACCAGCATTCTCCATCCAACTCTGTCCTGAGCCTTCCTTTCCAGTTCTTTCCAGTTACTATTCATCCTTTTCATATCGGCTTCTATTTCCCGGCGTAGTGTGTTCTTTGGCCTTCCTCTTTTCCGCTTCCCTTCCGGATTCCAAGTTAGGGATTGAGTCGTGATGCACATTGGTGATTTCCTTAATGTATGTCCGATCCACTTCCAACGTCTTTTCCTAATTTCCTCTTCAGCTGGAAGCTGGTTTGCTAAATGATACAACCCTTCGATTCAATACTTAAAATGTTGGATTACATTGAAATAACATTCTTACATTCATAATTTATTATACTTAATACTTGAAATCTTTTGATAATCTTGGCAATACTATGCAACACCAATTCATTTTTATTGACTTCCACTTGAATAAGCTTGACTATTTTTGATAGTTTTGTATAACTCTCCTACTACACGTAAAAAATCATCTATAAATACTATTGTACAGTTTCAGAAAATGATATCATCAAAAAGAAGATAAAAGTAAACAAAAAATGGTGGTTCTTCATTCCGTTAAAAAATGGATTATGGGAACAACTTAAAGACTTGGCAGTTAATCGGAAAGTAAAGCACTCAGCTGGAAATATGACTTGCCCATTAGTGAATAAATAAAATGTCATAACATTTAAAGTGAATATATGGTCAAACGTAAATTATTGTACCACAGCATAAAGAGGTTAAAAAAAAACATGTTAACTTTGTTTCAGAGAATCCTGTTTCTTTTCTACTTGGTGAATTTATCATTCCTGTCATGGTAGACTGACTTCTTTCAATCTCATTGTTTACATTATTACATAAAATACTTGAAAATTAGTCGGTGAAGCATAATTATACAGCTCATGTATCTGTGACGAATAAGATTGTTATTTAAAATTATACTGAAGTTAATCTATTCAACTGTAATTTAGGTAAGAAACCTGATTACTTTCAAACAATCAGTAGTGTAACGTCACTGTGAACATCTCTTGGAAAACGATATCTATGACTGTGCTAAGACATACAGTTGCATGTAATGGCTGTTATAATGAACTGGGTAAATCTTTAGATTATTTATTTTCATTATTGAAACTGATTGACTTCAGTTATTTTTTCATGTATATGATCAAGTATATGCAAAAAATAATTACAATAAATGAGAATTAATAAACGACAGACAAACGAACTTTCGCAAGACAATCTTATCTCTTCCTTTAATTTCTCTATTATTCGTCAGAATCTGTAACATAACAAAATAATATTATACCGAATGTATATATTCTATTTTTGTTTTACAGAGAGTCCTGGAATGAACATCAACTCTGAGATGCAGGTGCATCAACTGATGAATCCCCAAAATGACGAAACGTGAGTCCTGACTTCTACTGCTAGCCATCACCCATCTTTGCTTACAGATATAATCGTGTTCATGACCACTCTTAGACAGAGAAAGAGAGAATGTCAATTGATTTAGAAGGTGGAAAATTCAATGTTTCAATTAAGTTTCTAATAGTAAAACGTTCATTATTAAATATTTGATAATGATAATGATTAATCCCATAAAAATTAAATAAATGTTCAGTTGTTTATAAACACTGGAGGAAGAAATAAGGGAGAAGACCTGGAAGGTGATAGGATACACATTGAGGAATAATGTATTTTTCAACATTATATCGATGGGATGAGGATAAACACTACTCCCCTTCGCAAGTTCGATCTTGCACCTGACAAATAATCAATATGAAGTGGGAATTATTATTTACAATATCATAATCCACCGTGGATGACATGTTTCGTTTTCCACCATTTTCGTTGGCTAACATGAAAAACGTTAAGTTTTCTACGACGAAAATACCACTCCATGATACGGACGTGTCAAGTGTAGCTCACTCAGTTATGATGGAAGAAAAATTACAACATAGCAGAAGTCATACTAGAGCTCGTAGAGAGCTCTAGTGAGAAGCAGTGACCAATGGAGTTCAAAACCACGTCTGTTGTGAGATAGGAACTCACTGAAGACAATTGGTGAATGGTTGCTCAACTTCGTGGATCAGTTGAAGTTAGATATTAACACCATTGGATGCCAGCTCAGTGGTCTATCGGTTAAGGGCTTCGGCTCGAGACTGGTAGGCCCAGGGTTCGAATCTCGCTCGCGAGAGCAGGTTCGTGGATGCGCACTGCTGTGGAGTACCATAATAGGACGAAACGGCCGTCTAGTGTTTCCAGGTTTTCCATGGTGGTCTAGCTTGAATTGACTCACGCTTTCAACAATGATAAATAAGAAATGTAGTGAATACATCACATTTTTTGTGTTCTTAACCTTCTATAGGCACATTAATTTCATAAACAAAATGTTTTATATGAAGTAAGAACTATAGGAATGACAATAATTTAGACGAAATCTCAACACGGATACAGAAGGCTCGTCTAGCTTTTGCACATTTGCGTCATTTATGATGTAGACGAGATATCTGTTTAGCAACCAAAGGACGGGTTTACTGATCAGCAGTTCGCTCCGTCATACTTTATGGCAGTGAAACACGGTCGGTAAGAATAGGGAATATTCGTAGGCATACCTCAGGATTGGTAAATCGTACATTAATAGTTCATAGGTCTAAACAAAGCTTATAGTAAGAGGGATACGAATATGAATAGTTTAGTTATTTAACAATTATAAAATAAAAATATACACATAGTATTTGTCCATAAAGGGATCCTCAAACTTACCGTTCATTATTGCCATCGGGATATGACAATATTTATTATTCTTATTTATGGATCTACATTAATTTCAAATTTCATTTCATTCTTTATAATTTCCTGTTAATTTGTAGTATCGGTGTTTATGTTAAGCCCATATACTTTATTCTAGTTGCTGGCCAAGCCAATTCGCCTATCCATTATGAGTCATATTTTGATCTTGTTAATTACTCGCTTACTAACCTTGACTACCTTGTTATATGAGCGCATGTGTATGTACCCTTCTTATCCTACCTATCACATGTTTGTCATTCATTTTTGTCCGACTATAAATGTTGATTAACGCTTGCTTAAATCGAGTTGGCTTCCCAGCCATCTCCAATACGCATTATTTAGCTTCGCTCTCGAGTTGGCTTCCCAGCCAATCTCCATTGCGCATGGTCTTTCGCTTCGTTCGCTTTTATTCGCTTCATCACTCTGATTCTCTGGCCAGATCAATGACTGTAGAAAATATATGTATTCTAAATCTATTCTCGTATTTGACGTATTTAACTCCGTTGTTCACCAACGCGGATAAAGTCATTTATTACATACGAGTATGGACAGAATCAGATTTACGCTACAACAAAATTGGAGGCCTCGCCGAACGAGCACGACGCTACAGAATTGGATGTCTCGCCGAACGAACCCGGACCAGAATCGACAACCTCTACGTACGAACTCACAACATAATTGGCGACCGCAACGAGCGAACGCATATCAAAAATGGAACGACCGACGACATATTCCGTTATGATTCGAATAATCATCATATGCTCATTATTACAATAATGTCATATCATCATCTAACGTGGAATTATTATTTTTGTTCTTATTGACATTAAACTATGGCATGTACGCAGTCATATCACTAATCGAACAAATTATAATTATATGGACATTGCACGTTATGATATTCGAAACTCACTGGATTATTTTCATTATTCAATGACGTAAAATTTTGCTGATTTAGGTGAGTTCGTTCCAAGTTTTTCTTTTTCATGTCATTTTCGGTCTAATATTACACTCTATCATAGACATAAGTTTGGAGTCACACTCCCGGTAGTAGGAACTTATGTTCTCGATGCAACTAATGTTCATTTATTTCATTGGTACGCAGCAACCGTCGTCCCCTACATTCTCAGCTACAACCTGAACCGAACTTTCGCAATTTTTGTTTTACGATGATCCCTACTTTAATGTCTATACACAAATCAAGTATTCGACGCCGCATTACCAGCCGATTAGTAATGATTATGCTCATATTATCTATTTATTCACATTTATATCTGAATGCTGCATCAAACTAATTATTTATGCCGTAATTTGTATGATGGTGAACTAAATAAATACATAGTTGCTTCAAAATGTTGATAGTTTTAGACTGAAATGAAAGAAGCTAATCTGTTTGATAGAACTTCAGTCATTCAACTCATATTTCAACATTGAATTAAATAATTAAGATTATAGTTTACCATATTTTCATGCTTCATTTCATTATAAAAATACTTCTTTATCATAAAAAGCAAATTTTAGCCTAGTGAACTTAATTTTATTCAATGCTATTTATCGTCTGAATTTCATACATATTTTTTAGCCGCCAGTCCAATTACTAAACCCTAGATGAAGAAGACATCTCTTTTGTAGCTCATGACTGCTCAGTTCACTCCTGATAATGTTACCTCATAACAGATAGATGGTGTTCAAACAAGACTACCTATGCTTCAGCATTGACTTATGTCATGTTAAAGTATTGCGAACAGTGCTTTAACAACGACCATGAGAGAGAAATAAGCCAAACTGAACGTACGTGTCAAATACGATACAGAGGAAAAGAAAACCTATTTCATATATCGGCGTTTCGGAGGTGAGGTTACTTGAACAAAGAATCGCTGAATTAATGCCTCAATGACGATTGCTTATCCAGCAGCAAGAATAGGGACGTTATGCAAACTGAACTGCTCATTCAAACAAACAAAGATCTATTAGTCCTCTTTTCTGAGTACCTTCAAATGCATTTACTAATTTACATTTACTTGTCAAAGCACATACTATAGAAGAACAGAGAGGAGAGTAAATGTTCACATTTCTGAGAACATTCCAAAGAATTTGAGAATGCGATAGCTCCACATTTAATTGATTCTGAGGATATCATTGAGATTTCTCAATACTTCAAAATAATCAGCAGAGAAAAGAAGGCAGCATCTCTTCAGGTTTGCTGATGACGTGGCAATGAAAGAGGTAGTAATCAACTTATTACCACATCGACAAATTCATGGATCTCACTAAATCACAATAAAGAGAACCTGACCAATCAAATTTGCATCACGAAAAAATTCAGAAGGTCAATAGAAGACGCGAGAACTAAAGGAGAGGCTCATATAGCTTCAGATCGAGACCCTGATTTGTATTCATATAAGGAAGAATAAGAAGACAGCAATTAACAACAGCCGAAGAAGAACAGAGCACATCAAGCCACAGACCAAATACACAGAAGTAAACAAGCAAGTAAAGAGGAACATTAGAGCTGACGAGCAGAAATACATGGAAGACCTAGCAAAGACAGCGGACAGCGCTGCGTGAGAAATAAATATGAAACAACAATGTGATATTCTTAGGCATTAAATCAAAAATTTGATCGTTTAGCGCATGCAGCACTCCGTGGTAGTACAATCAGTATTCCAGAAGCAAGACTACGTGCAGAGAATATTCATAAAATGAATTCATCTCACAAACCTGGTTTACCTCCTCTAGCAAAGATAGCGGACAGCACTTAGTGAGAAATAAATATGAAGCAACAATGTGATACAACGAAGAAACTGGGAATTAAACACAGTAAACCAGATAGATTAGTCAAGGATAAAGAAGGCAAGAAAATCACTGAAATTCGAGAGCAGTGGAACAGGTGGATAGGACACTATGAGGAACTCCTGAATAGACCAGCTCTATCGACCGGACATCGAAGCAGCACTTACAGATATTCCTATAGATGTCAGTCCAACAACGATAAAAGAAATCAGCATAGTTATCAAAC